TCCACTTGTTGATTTCTAACTTGTTAAAATTAGCGAATTGGACATGTTTAATTCCTATTCTAACCCATCTGTTCAATCAAGCAATCAAGCAAGTCAATAATTATCAAGACAACAGTTAAGCACAAGTTGTCATAGGCTTATAGCTTTTAACAAACACCTCACACGCACACAATCAAATGGAGCATTCTTGGCTTATGAGAATGAAGGAAAGAAGGTATGTTTGTGTGCCTGGGGGGAAATAGAACTATTCCAGCCAAGAAATTTTTTTTTTACCTAATACAGTGATACAAGATAAAAAATAAGAACAATTCACATCACGACCAAAAGTAGCAAATATAAGAAGATACCCAAATAGGGAGCTTTGTGATTTACATGTCGAAAGTTATCCAAAAATTGGGTCTTTAAATTAGCACGAAATTTGGGAGTGGTTTGCGAGCATATACTTAATTCTCAATGAACTTACTTATCTTGTATTAAATTTGGCAGCAAAGATAGTAAGATCGTAATAGAGATTTTACTACCTAGATTTTGCAAATTTCTACTCAAAAGCAGTGAAAACTAATTGTTTTACCTTACAAATCACATGAAGGTTATGTGATTATTTCAAAATGATAAGGGGTAAATCTACATATGGTCCAAACCACAGCAGATAAAGTGAAATTTGCTCAAAATTAAAAAATAAAATAAAAACAAAATCAAATAGGCTCATGAGGCAAAGGAAGGATGTTGTGCAATGCAACATTCTTGAAGTATGAAAGGAAGGAGTATAAGAGACACAAATTGATTCAATGAGGAAAAGAAAGATGAAAGAAAAATATCATGGCAAATCAAAGTCCAAGACAAACTAGTTATGCCGGGAAAAAAAAAGGAGAAAAGAACATTTTGATACTTTAAATATGGTTTGAGATTTGTTTATTTAGTGATTTTTAATTTTGTACAGAAAAAATATATGTATAAAAAATAAAAAATAAAAAAAATGTTGCGAGAACTTTGTATTTAGTTTGTTCCAAAGTGGTCCTATGGTTGTAATAAAGCAGTTACTCGTAAAAGTGAAAGGGAATTGTGTAGTAAGGAATTTTAATTGTCTACAACAAAGCAAATGGGAAATTTAACAATCAAACAAACGTAACATAAATTTAGTAATTGGCCTACCAGATCATCAACTAAATGCATTCCACATGAAGTTTGTAATTGGCTGGCCAGAACGATAAAATCGATCCAACAAAATACAAAAATCATCCATACAACAAATTATTATCCAAATCAAGTGAGTGTACTCAAATACTCGCCTGAAATCATGCCTATCAACTAAGCAATTGAAACCTAAAAACCTAAACCTCTTTGCAGCGAAAAAAAAAATAATCCAACAATTCCATAGTTGTGGAATAAATTTCCAGTGACAATAATCAGTTGATCAAACCCACGCATACACACGTCTTATTGGAAGGTCATATAAATATGTATTGATTGTTCCTAATGGGAGGGAAGAGAGGGAAGGAAAGAGGATACGTGTGTACCGTGAGAGTCCCTTCCAGTTAGATTGTGGAAGAATGCTTCAGCAAAGAGCTGATCCCTCAGCCGTGGGTTACAACAGTAAGCACACCAAAGAAAGAGAAGAGAAAGTATGATGGTCTTGAAGATCACAGCCCTTCAACTTCTCAGCCTTTAGATATGTATAGATTGTTCTATATATCAGATTGTGAGGAAGTTTTTATTGGTCTACAATGGGCCCAATTTTATTATTTTATTTTTATTTTTTTTAAGACAAAATAATTTGTCACCAATTACCAATTTTGGGCGCCTTTTTTTTTGGTGTGTGGCGCCAAATATTTAGATTTTTTTGTGACAAAAAAATTTTCTTACCAAATTAAAATTTGCGTCTCCAAAAGAAAACCTCTTATTTTGATTTTTATAACAAAATTAAAAATTTTATTTGGTTTCATTTTTTGAAAATGATTTTTAAATTAATTGTAAGCCTTAGTGATTTTTTTTTAGTTGTACATCTAAAAAGTAAAAAGTAAAAAATAAAAAATTAAGTAAAATATGAAAACAGTTCAATAAAGACAAACGAAACCCGTTTAAAAATAATTTATGAGAATTTAAATCAAAAAAAATTCAGGTTCAAAAACTAGCGAACAATAATATGAAAAACAATCAAGTTGGAGTTATTTGTTTTTTTAGATACACTTAGTTTAAATATACTTAAAAGGTAAAATATTTATGAAAAAATAATAATAAAAAAATGACAATGTACTAAATTTTTATATTTTTTTGTATGTAGTGAATTTTTTTATAGTGTTTTCATAAATTTTGTACTTTTCAAGTTTATCTAAAGGGAAAATTACACAGGTGATCCCTATACTTTGTTTTTTGTGTCATTTTGGTCCTTACACTTTCAATTGGCACAATTTTGCCCCTTAATTTTAAATTTTGTGTCAATTTAATCCATTGATAATGTCGTTAGTGTTTTTGAACAAAAATAATCACAGAATTGATTGAAATTAACTCACTGAGATTAGTAAATTTATAATTTTTTATAAAAAATATATAATATATATATATATATATATATATATATGGCACATACATACCATTTATATGGCACATACATACCATTTATATGGCACAAGGACCAACGTACCGGGACAATTGTTGCAATTTGCCCTCATCTAAATTAAAGGGATTTAAAAGGTCAAAAAAAGAAAAAAAAATTATAATATTAAAAAATGTTCAAGTACAAAAAATAGATTTAAAATTAAAAATTAATTATTGAAAACTTCATACTAAACAAGGTAATGTTTTCTATTTAATTTTGAAAATTAAAAAAAATTATTAATAATTTTTCCTCTGTATTTTTCCCACAAAAAATAGTACATTAAATTATTATTATTATTATTTTTTTTTTTTTTTTTTTTTTTTTGGACAGCGGTTTTGACTTGCGATTTTTCTAAAATGGGTGTTCTAAAAAATGCTTATGCAAAAGCCGCCTTCACTATGAGAAAGAATAATCGGTTTACATAGGGTGCCTTCTTGGATAATAGCTTCAATACTGGCATGCTTGAAGGGCTTAAGTGTGAGACATATGAGAGGGGCTTTAGTGCGAAATAGAAAAAATGGTTTATAGAGTGCCTTCTTGCTTCACGACTTCAATACTTTTGAGAGAGGAGTAGGCTCAAATGCGAGAGAGAAAAGAGGGATTGTAGGAAGTGTCTTCTTAAGTCACGACTTGAGTGATTGTGTATATGAAAATGAGTGATAAGGGTCGGAGTGTGTCTCTTAGGGTCACGGTTTCAATGGTTTGAAACACAAAACCATAGCATTTTAGTAAAGAGAAATAATTAGTGATAAAATATTTTTGTCTCCTTAAATACAAGAACAGAGAATTTATTATCGGTGACGAAATATTTTTGTCTTCCACAACATAACCTCATGAGACGAAAAATATACTCATCGCACAATCATTCAGAATTTATTAGTGACGAAATATTTTCATCTCCCACAACTTATTCTTCCAAAACAAAAATATATTTGTCGGCCATTTAGTAGAAAGATGAAACGGTATCATTTGCATGATGGAGTGTTTATTGGTGGCGAAATATTTTCGTCTTTCATAACTTATCATTCCTAGACAAAAATATATTTGTCGCATAATAAATGCAAATATGCAACGGCATCGTTTAATAAGTAGGGAATTTATTGGTGACAAATTACGTTCGTCGCAAAAAATATATATATTTTGTGATGAAAATGTTCGTCTCCAATTAGTTAAAATAATTCGCGTCAATGCAAACGAAATTGGCGCTTGAATTTTGCAGACGAATTTTTTTTTCCGTCTTCTATACGTTTAAGAAAAATTAAAACAAACGATAAAATTAATATTTTGTCATCTTTGGATTAAATTTTAAGACAAAAAAATTTCGTCACCAAATTTTGTCACAATAACCTAAATTTCTTATAGTGAGTTTATGAGCCAAAAAATTAGATTCAAGAAAAACGTGCTCTAGAAAGGAGTTACGGCAAAAAATCCCTTGTTGAAACTTATTTACTTATAAGTCTTATTTTTTATTTTTTTTTATTTTTTTATTTTTTTATTTTTTACCTATCAATATTTTTAAGGGTAAATTACAAATACATTCTTGAGATTTGCTTAAAATACAAATTGTTCCTTGTGGTTTAGAAAATTATTAATATTTTCTTGTCAGAATTTTTTATTTAGCAGAATTAATTAAAAAAGTGAGATTTCTAACTGTTCACATATATAATAATAAAATTATCTGAATTATTAATTAAAATAAAATTTTAATATTATTAAAAACTGTTAATTAACTTGATAATTTATTAATAAAAGAACTTATTTGTTATATGTAATTTCTAAAATTACAGAAAATAGTTTTTAATTTAAATAAATCTCAAGAGGTGTGTTTATAATTTATCCTATTTTTAAAATATGTTAGGACAAAGTAAGCATTTTAAAACTCATTAGTGCATTAGAAAAATATACCAGACTCACAAGTATTTTACTCCATCACATCTCATCTAATCTCTTAAAAAAAAAAAAAAAAAAAAAAAAAACCCCTCCATCAGATAAAACTGACCGATGATTTACCTTAAAAATTAGGTCAAGTTTGGAAAGACTAAATAAGTGCACTTTTTGTCTTTTTAGACTAAAAAATTGAGGTTGAAAATATGAATGTTTGGGTTAACTTTTTGACTTTTTGTGGAAAAATGTGTAATAAAAAATTGCAAAAATTAGTTTGTAGGGGAAAATTAGAATTGGGAATTGTGCAGCCGTAATTGTTGACTTTTGGTGAATAGTGATGACTTTTTAACTTTTTGAGTAACTTTTTGACTTTTTAACTTTTTTTTAAACTACCCAAACTTGGCCTTACTATCTTAAGCGATATGTGATTTTTTTTTAATGGACATTATTGCTTGACTTGGGCCGAAGGGCCCATAAACATGACAAACAGAAGCAAGGAAAAATGGGCTACAAAGGGTTCGTGGACGGTGCGTCATTGGGTTCAAAACCTGCCTTCCAAAGCCGCACACCTCTCGACAATCAAAAATCGAGAAATCCATGGAAGCGGAACTGGTGATCGCTTCGTCGGCGACCGACGCTGGCATCGGTTGCTGGGACTTGCATTCCGGCGCCGAGCACGTCCGCTACCGCTCCTGCTCCTCCCCTTCTCACGGCCTCGTCTCCGTCGCCGGCCTCTTTCTCGCCTCCTCTCAGCTTCGCGATCCCTCTTCCTCCTCCGGCTCCGTCCTCTACTGGTCCTGGAACAAGGTCTCTCTCTCTCTCTCAAAACTCATACACATACAAACATCTATATATATAGTATGAAGTTAAACTGTTTGATAAAACGCTTCTTAGAACTCTATTACACAAAATTGTGGGCTTTGAATCTAACCGGTTTGATAAAACGCTTCTTAGAACTCCAAACACATAACTGTGAGATTTGATTTGACAAAACTCTTCTTAGAACTATAAAACATATAGCTGTGAGCTTTGAAGCTAACCTGTTTGATAAAATGCTTCTTAGAATGGTTATGCATGATATTTGCACTTTTGCTGAAGCGAAACTGTAATGACTACTTACTCTATGTAATAATGCTTAGTTAATCTGTTTTCAAAATCGTGCAGCCTCATGTAGAAGTTAAGTGCTTCCCAGCAGAACCAATTAACCCGCTTGCTTCTAATAGTGACGGGACTTATATAGTTGGAGGAGGTGTTTCTGGGGAAATATATTTATGGGAGGTGAATATTTTATTCTCTTAATATGTTTTCATAACTCGTCTTTTACAGATTTATGTAATTAGCATTGAAAAGAGTTTTGAATTTTGAAGAATTAGTGTTAGCTGGACTTGGTTTTTGAGTGGTTTATATTGATGAAAGATTTGTTTACAATATGGTTAGGTTGCGACTGGTAGACTGCATAAGAAGTGGCATGCTCATTATAGAGCTGTTACTTGCTTGGTGTTTGCTGACGATCAGTCCCTGTTGATTTCTGGGGCAGAGGATGGATCTGTTAGAGTCTGGTCTCTTCTAATGTACTTACTTGTACTCTTGCTTGTGCTTTAGTTGGTTCTAATTATTTGATGGTGACCATTGCTGAACAAGAATTACATGCTAATTAGGATATTTGATGATATGCGGAGGGAACAAGCAAGACATATTTATGAGTATAGTTTCTCCGAGCACACTTTACGGGTGACTGATATCGCCTCAGGTTATGGAGGATGTAATGCAATTATAGTGTCCGCTTCTGAGGATCGGACATGCAAGGTGTGGTGTGATGTCTACTAAATGTTTTTGATAAAATTTTATTACAAGTAACTTATAATGTACGTCAACTTAGGTTTGGAGCTTATCCAAGGGGAAGCTATTGAGAAGTATTGTGTTTCCATCAATAATTGATGCAATTGCATTGGACCCTGGTGAGCATGTCTTTTATGCTGGAGGAAAAGATGGAAAGATATACATTGCTTCACTCAATTCTCAAGGCACCTCCAACAACAGTTATGGGATGCATATCATTGGCTCATTAGCTGATCACAGGTTTTTCCACTATTCTTATTATATTATAAATGTTGTAAGTTTATGGCGTCTTGAGTTGAGATATATAGATCACCTACTTCCTCCTTAAAAAATTTCATTTATTAAGTACTGCCGTCAAGAAGTTGCCTGTCCTTTTTCACTGTGGGTGTGTTTACTTTCATTCCTTTTCATGTGTGTTCTGTTACATATTTAAATTTGAGATGAGTTAGTTTATCTGGCTTTTTCTTCTTTTCTTCTTCTTCTTCTTCTTTTTTTTTTTTTTTTTTTTCTTCATGGAATGTTTTTGTTTTTGGTTTATAAGGTCCTGTCCTAATGTAAATATGAGTGCATACTTGGAGAGCCCAAATTTTCTCATGTTCCAAATTTGATCATATTTTTAATGAGTTCTATTATCTTATTTATCCTCTCTATCACTCTATGTTATTGCTTTAATGTGAATGCAATTCGACAAGAGGGCATTTGTGAAGTGCACTCTATTTAGTCTAGAGTGTGTGTATTTTTAATAGTGCATCATTAAATTGGCAGACAGACATCCAACATTGGTTCTCTAAACAATTGTAACATATGTTCGTGTGCCATAGCATTCTTTCCATCACTCTGTGATCTGTATAAATGATTTTTTGGATTATTTATTTAATCGAGTTATATCAAGTTTATACTTGAGGCATAATAAAATGATAATAATTAAATATATAAAAAATATATATGCTAATTATGACAATAGTAAAATCAAGTCCTGCCAGCATCTTAGCGATCCCATCTTGCTTGACTAGTTTGAGCTTGGGTTGAAGTTGAACACCACACCACAGCTCATATATGAGTCCAAGATAAAGGTTTCAACTTACAATAATTGCAAAACAAGTTAGAAGAAACCTGTTGTTTGAGGGCTAATTTCGTGTGTTGTCCATGAGGGAAAACACCCATGCAAATCTTTGGCCTTGTTTGGGATGTTGGATTTAGTAGCATTTTTTTGGCTAAAATGGCTAATAAAGACAAAATAGGCTAAAATAGTCAATAAGACAAAGGCGCTGTTTGGGAAGCATAGGTTGGGGCTATTATAGTCTCAAAATGGAAATAAGCCAAAAAGCCTACTGTAGCAACCCTTTTTATTTAAAAAAAAAAAAAAAATAGCCTCAGCTGCCGTGACAGTGTAGGGCCAGCCTACACTGTCAAAGTGTCAAATTTCTACGTCACTTGGGAAATTACATTTTTGCCCCTTCACATCAATTTAAAAAATTATAATTTTAGGGACAAATTTGTCATTTTAACTTCAAATATCATTTCAAAACACTTTTCAATACAACAACTCAAATAAAAATCCATCTCATCTTCCCAAACACAAAAACTAAAATAGCCTACTAAAATAGCTAAAAAGCCAAAAAGCCTCTAAAATAGCCACTTCCCAAACGAGACCAAAATGTCACATCCAAACTATAATCATTTCACTATCAACTACAAAAAAAACCAACTATCATCCCAAATACAACTTGTTTAGCCAAATTAAAATAGCTAAAAAAGCCAACTAAAATAGCTAAGTTCCCAAATGGGACCTTTATTGAATGGTGCTACATCATGGTGGTTACCCCAATGTGTAGCCATCATTGTAAGTGAATTTAGGAACACGGATACGGCATATGGCGATATGGGGATATAGATATGGCGATATGTTAAAATCTGAAAAAGTAAGATACGGGTACAGCGAAAATACATTCTTAAAAAAAAAAAATTATTTTTTTTATAATTTTAATAATATAATATGCATGAAAATAAAACCTAAAGCAAATTAATAAATAAAGAGAGGGATTCCTATTAAGCTAAGAGTTTTCAAACATCCAAAACTAAAAGTAAAAGCAAATGCAAATGCAAATGCAAATGCAAATTAAACATCATCCTTACATGTCTACACCAAAAATAGAACGAAAGCAGAGAGAAGAAAGGTAAAGAGTGAGAGAGGCAATAAGGATACATCAATTGACAAATTCTATTACTTTAACTCTCATTATATTCCTCTTATCAAAGAACTAAACAAACTATTGAAGTAATATGTGATTTTATGTATCTGATACTTTAAAATTAAGCATCCGATAGTCCAAATTAATAAGAAATTAATTAAGAAGTATCCGATACGTATCCGAGGAGTATCGGTATCCAATAAGTATCCGACACGGATACGTCTCCCTTTTTGAAGTGTCCGTACTTCATAGAACTGGATGTGTCCATTCTCGCTCCATTAAATTGTAAACTTAATGATGAATTTGTAGAAGAAAATAATGGACTAAGAAACTACAATGCAAAATTAGATATTTTTGTTAAAATCCACCTACTCTCCACCTACTTCACCCACTTAAACCTACTCCACTAAACCTAACCCACTACACCACTACCACCTCACCTACTCCGAGGGTGTTCAAAAGTTATTGGTCATTGTAAATTCTCCACATGATGACGCGGACATGCTAGTTCTTCAGAGCGCTCACATATACAATGAATGATTTATATTACAAGCCTCACTACATGGTTGAATCTTTGATTGCTGAAGTTGTACATGTTACATTTTTTTGATAAGCAAATTTCATCAGAAAGACCCCAAAAACCGACATGTCCTCACTGTTTGAGAAATTTAAAACAAGTGGATGGTTCTCATTATATCTTAATTGATAAAGATAAAAATAAAAATAAAAATTGTTTCTTTTTTGTATTATTTGGAAACATATCGGTCGATGATTGTTGTGTTGTTCAAATAATGATGACAAATGCATCCTGTTTAGATTTCTTTTGCCATAAATGGTCTGCACTTTTCTAAGTTTTATTTCCTTTACAATTTTTACACTTCCACATTTGGTGCAGTAAAGCTGTCACTTGCTTAGCATTTGCTGCGGATGGAGTGTTATTGGTTTCTGGCTACGAGGATGGCATGGTTCGAGTCTGGGACACTAAAACTCACAACATCATTCGCGTTTTGAAACATGCAAAAGGTATATTTGAATTTATCAGAAATGTTGGTTGCTTGATTTCATGTTGATTTCATTTTGTGAGATATATTGCATTATGTATATTATTTTTGTTGTGAAGATAAATAAGTCGTGTTGCCTATGCCCATTAATTAACAACTGGCTTCACTAGTCATCTAATTAACAGATGTTGGTAGAAAAATGAATAAGGTTTCCATATATGTATGTATGTATGTATGTATGAATAGTAAGTGGTGAATCGGCTGGTTAAGGGAGCCATGTGGGAAATATGAATGGCACTGAGTTCATCTTGGACCATTAGAGCTGGGTTGATTGAGAACTGAAGCAGCTTTAGGAGGAGGTATAACCGTATAACAGTAGTAAACCAAAGTCTGAAGATGGTGGTGATTATTTTGTGTTGGGTTGCTGTATTTTGCTCATGATTTCTAACTGCTGTGGTTGATCTGTTCTTCTTATGTTTTAAGTGATGTTATCCAAATTTAAAAAAGAAAGAAAGAAAAAGTGATGTTATTCCTCGGCTAACACAAATAAGGTACACTTTTTTTTTGGGTATTGTGCAGGTCCTGTTAACAATATTCTTGTTGTTAGACCACCACTCTGCTTAAATCCTCAGATGTTACTGAATTCTCAATCTTCTTCAGTAAGAAGGCATGGATCTTCATTACCACCTCCATTGGAGAAGTACACAAATTCAACAGATGAAATTGTAGAAGTTAAGGCTTTTCTCAGTACTCAGCCTACTTCCAATGAACCTCTGCATGCATCATACATCAGTATCCACACTATGAATAATCAAATCAAAGAACTACAGGTTTATATTTTCTTGATGAATATTCTGGATTAAATTCATTGTTGTGGATTATATCCGTGTTCTGTCACAGTTAGCATGCGCTTCACTTATATATATATATATATATTCTTCCTTTGTTTGCATGTCTTGCACTGTAGGAATATAATTTTACATATATTATCTTTGTTCTCAAGTGTTCATTAATTCTCTTAGTTGTATTTGACTTTCGTTTTTCTACTGATCAAAAAAGGATTTAACTTTTTCTTCTTTTCCTTGGGTATTGCTGCATATCCCATCATGCTCCGCTGCCCTAGCCCCTTTTAGAGTCAATTGAATTACATTGATGCATGAATGTGTTTCTTTACTGAGTAAAAAGAAATTATTACTTCAGAACAATATGTGTTTGACCTACAGTTTTGGTGTTATATTCAGCAACATGGTTCATCTGCAGCTGCTGGAATGGAGATGGAACGACTAAAGTACGATTGCAAAAGGTCTATGCAAATGGCCGAGTGGTGGAAGACAATGTATGAAAACGTGCACCAATTTTGTGTAAATGAGCTTTTGGATGGAGATCAAACAGAAGGCTGCAATGGAAACTCCACCTGACACAGCTTTTCTTTATGTGCAAACAGCTCCCAAGTTTTGTAGGTACAGAATTATTTTTGCAATGATTTGATTGCTGTGGTGTGTGATATTCTCCCTTTGTTTTGAATCTTTTAATCTTTGTATCGTCATCCCATTTTGGAAGCTTCTAGTTAATTGATAATGAAGCATCTTATCTGTTTTACAGTTTTCGTCATTAGACACAAATATGTTTAGGTACAGAATTATTCTTACAATGATTCCATTGCTGTGGTGCATGAGTCTCTCTCTCTCTCTCAACAAATCAATTCTCAGGTCCCATAAATATATACCTATTGTGTGAAATAATGTACTGAATTTTGTCAATGTGAACTTGCCAGAGCACCTCTATGGAGAACTGAAATATTAAAATTATGTTAATGGTTTTAGTTAATGGTTTTGGTTTTAGTTAATGTATTAATAGCCTGAAATTATTACTTTTACATCAATACTTTTTTTATCCTTATTTTACTGTCATATAATGCTAAGAAAGTCGGAGGGTTGCAAGGAGAAAACGTGACAGGACTGAAGCTGATATATTTTAAGCAACAAATATATCCGAGCCAAGCTTAACCAACTCGGGTTCACCTCCGTTTGAGCTCAGCTTTAATAATCTAGTTTGAAAGTGAGGCTTGAGTTTGGTTTATAAACATTTTCATGCTGAGTTTCAGTGAGGTGCAGACTTGTAAGCTTGATCTGTTCATGAACTATTGATTCATTTGCTGATCTAATTATATACTTGGGAAAAAAGCATTCATTGTGAAGTGGAATTGTTTTAGAAGTCCAAATCTGGTTACTAGCATTCATGTTATTTTGAAGAGTTGAAGGTGATCCTATACATGATGCAGTAGATACGACAATGCTAATAAAAACGTAGTAGAAGTTATTTAAAAGCTATCTAAAACTACAGAATGCTTTCAGATACTATATTTTCTACCTTTTCTTCTTCTGTCTTTTTTTCTTTCTTTTTGTGGACCTGAATATGTAGTCCAAAGACATATTATGGAAGCAATTTTCTTCAAAAGCAGCAACACTAATAATCAGTGCTTGTAGAACTTACTGAATGATTGATTGCTTGGATGCAAGCTATGAAATCATGTACAGTTACAGTAAAATTTGTCTGTACAAAGCAAAATCATCGATTATGAAACATGTGGACCTTTTTTTTTATATTTTATTTTATGTGCATAATGTGGACTTTTATTTGATTTTGGGCTTTATTGAGCAATGTCTGCTGAAGAGTTGGTCTCTTGCCAGAATGCCTGCTACTGGATCGAGAAGTTTTTTGAAGCCTTGTTTCAGTAATCATTCCTTCCTATCCTCCTACTGTTCCCTAGCCGGTCTTGTAGATTGCAGTCGTATGTTTTGTGTTTGGATTTAGTTACAAAGAACGTATCTCTCTAATGTACTGCTAACCTGTTGATTGCGATAGTTTCTATTTGCTTCCTGGAAAGTGAGTCAACTTGTTTAATCCATCTTCATTGTAACTATCTACAATATTATAGGTTATAAATATGCCCCGTCTCTAGTGGTCTCTTGTCCTTGGAATGTGATTTTGTTTTTTCCCCGATGGATAATGCAGCTAAACTGCATGGCGTTTGTTTTGGATATGGCATTGATAACGTGATTTTCTGTTCAAACCCCTGGAATATGTTGTAACTTCTATCGATTTTGTGTGCTGAATTTAGCTTATTTATTTATTTATTTTACCGATGTAGCTATTTCTTGAATTGAAGGATGCTTTGTGATTTTGTTGTTAATGCTAATTATCACAGATTTCAGTCCACAGTCCACGGGTATTGGTAGAATTAGTATTTCTGTGGCCTTATGCACAATAGGAAGTGTTAGGGTACATTCCGGATCTTTTTTTATTTTATTTTATAATTTAAATTGTACATTTTATAAAGTTTGCAAGATCATGCCAAAATTCAGGTTAATCAATTATCGATAATTACATGATTGGAGGCAAATGTGATCAGATTATATAGTTATCGATATCTAAATAACTTAATTTTTTTATATGAATGAACTATTTAATGGGGTTTAAAAAGAACGGGTTGGAAGGTAAAAACGAGTCCAAAGTGGACTCACTGGCATAGCAGTGGAGTGATTCTGTTTCAGTGGCCTAGTCACCCCAGGACAACTGCCTCAATCGACCTGCAATGGTACAACCATGTTAATTAAGATGGATTTTGTTAATGTGTATTTTAATAATTAAGCTAGTGTAATTATATTAAATTTATTAAAGTCTATATATTTAAATGTGAAAGATGATCAGTGTAATTTGTTCATAATTACTCATTTGTATATCATCACTCATAAAATTAAAATCTCATGATTGACTACCCATTAATAATTTTCAAATAAATAGTTTAATAATAAAAATGGAGGAAAAGATTTAATTAAAATATCATCACATGATGACTACCTATTAATATTTTTCAAATAAACAGTTTAATAATGAAAATTGAGGAAATTATTTAATTAAATTCTCATCACATGATGAATACCCTTAATATATTTCAAATAAACAGTTTACTAATTAAAATGGAGGAAAAGATTTTGTGGTACAGGGCACTTGAAACATGTGGGCCACTGCTTTAATATTTGGAAAACAAAACAGGTTCATTGCAGCTAAGGTATATTGTCCGTTATTATATATATACTAGTTTAAGAAGGCCTGGTAGGGCATAGATTAGTATATTTAAATTTTATATTTTGATAGTTTTTTAAAAATTAAAATATTATTTTATAAAATTGAATAAAATAAATCATTAGATATATAATAGAATTATGTGATATGGTATGGTATATATCATTTTTTGATTTGTTATACAACTAATGATGCAGGTTCTAATTTTATTACCATATCATTTTGGATGAATTTATGAGTTTTTGACATTTCTTCCTAATTTATAAAAAATAAAATAAAAATTATGGTGTGTAATTTTTTGCAACAGTTAAATATAAAATAAATACTAATATAATTTTCTCATCTAAAAAAGTTACTCAGATAATTCACTGAACTAATAAAGAAGCAAAAGAAAATACATATATCTACAAATAACTAATTTTATTAATACATAAATCATATTCGCATAACGAATGACATATTTTGTTAATAAGTAAATCATTGAGTAATTAACAATTTGTAATGATATGAATTTTTTTAGTTAATCATTTTGTTAATAAATAAATCATTAAGTCAATTAATAATTTTTAATAATATGAAAAATGATTTTCAATAAACAATTTTGATAATTTATTATTGCATATGAGAGTTTTTTTTTCCTTGAGTATTGTGTTAAATGAAAATTATAACAAACGGTAGTTGTAATTCCTAATATTATAGGACCAATTCTTATTTTAAACAAATCTTATACGTGTATTTGTAATTTATTAAAAAATAAAATATTTTTGTTTCATAATTGATCAAGAATGTTTGCGTAATTACAAAAAAATCTATTTCATGATTAGCCAAGAATGTGGGTAATTCTATTTTCACATACTTATTCCACTCAGTTCACACACTTAATGAAAATTTTCATTAATACAATTTTATCCTAGAATAAAAATACTATAATACTCTTCTTCTACTCAAACCCTATTTCTAAAACGCCACAACCATCCTCTATCGCCAGTGCCACCTCTCTCATTTGCCACCCCTTCCTGTCGCCTCTTTTCTTATCCGTCTGCGATCACTTTCCGCTATGAATCATACACTCCTACAAGTCTCTCACCATGAATCACTCAATGTTGATTATGGAGGTCTAGAATGAAGGGGAATGAGCTAGAAATGGCGATAATGGTGGCGATATAGGGTTAAAAGTAACGGGCAATGATAGTAAAAGATGAGTGGATGAATGGAGAAAAACTATATACATATAGTTTTAGAATATGTTTTCAAAAATAAATAAATAAAATTTCTTATTTTAATATGGTTTCATCTTTTTAGGGGCAAAAAATTTAAAAACTAAAAAATATTTTTTTGATATTTATTTTTGTCAAATTAATTTATATTTTTCTCATAAAAATTTCAAAAACTTGATTCAAAAATTGAAACCAAACATAGCATTATTGAAATATGGAGATGTGTACTGAGAATTTATATTTTTATAATGTGTGGATTGAGAAAATATTCATTAAGTGTGTGTGCTGAGAGAAATTAGTGTGTAAAAATAGAATTACCCCAAGAATGTTCGCGTAATTATGAAAAAATCTATTGCATAATTATGAAAAAAATCTGTTTCATGATTGACCAAGAATGTTCTTGTAATTACGAAAAAACTTGTTGCATAATTGACGAAGAATGTTTGCATAATTATGAAAAAACTTTCACTCAACATATAGTAAATTATTCAAAATGATAGGACAAAAGCGAAAAGAAAAGACGAACCTTAAGCAGCTAAGTGATTCTTATGAGAAATTCTATTTCCACACATTTAATTATTTCAGTGCACATTTTCTCTTAGTACACACACTTATAAATTTGATTATTAATTAATTTTCTCAATTCACATACTAAAATTTACAATTATACCCTTCACTCATAATAATTATACACACACCACTCAACTCTCCTTTCCACAAAGGGTGTCAAGCAACAAGTTCATAGTTTTTGTATTTTTCTCCAACCCAAAAGTTCCTAAGTCATCGAATGTCCTCACAGCATTTTTCCAATCTCCTGCACCGACAAGCCTTCGCATACCCTTAGCTACAGTGCTAAGCGTCACAAGATGGGTTTGACGCATTTCATCTACCAACTTTTTCATCTTATCTATTTGTTTTGCTTTACCTAGTATGTCCACCATCATATCATATGATTCTAGTAGGGGCATATAGCCAAGATGTGATGATTTCCATTTAAAAACACCTAATGCAGACTTCTAATCATCTTTGAACTGATAGAGTAATTTATCAACAATGCTGTGAGAAATCTGTACAGCATTGCAAGCACGGCCATGGCTAAGTAAATGAAATATTTCATCTACGCTAGTTGCAGCACGGACTTTGGCTATGAGAATGTCAAAGCCCGAACAGCTACAACAACGATGTACATTGAGATTTTTCATATAATATTTTGCGAATCTAGGGTTTAGTTTTTTTTTACTCAAAAAGTGTACATTGAGATGAGACAAGATGAGCAAGATGAGACATCTGGATCTAAGTTATAATAATTTTGACGAGGATGCCTTCAGGATTTTGGGTGCTCTCCCATCCCTTAAGTTTCTATCCTCAGTGTCCAATAGCATGGAAGGACCACTTTCTAACCAAGGTATGTGTATTTTTTATTTCTCAAATTCATGCTGCATAAGTTAATTTTTTTAGCTCCATTTGAGTGTTGAGAAGACTTAAAATAGTTGGAAAAATGAAGTCTTACAGCTAGCAATTTGTGCAAAATTATAGTTCTTTGTCAAATATATCTTTCTCGAATCTATTACTGCCATCAATGGCATCATTGTCCTTAAATTTTTTTAACATTACATTTTCATTTGAAATTGAGCTACTAATTGAGGTGCCCATAGAATATAGTTCACAACAGCAAATTTTTTTAATATTTAAAATTTTTTTTTTACTTTAGATACAGTTAACCTAGATAGGGGCGGAGGGATGTGGGCCAGATGGTCACGTGCCCCCCTGACTTTTCAAATTTTTTTGTTTTTTGGTTTTGTTTGAGCTTACACGCAGTGCCACATAATATACAGCAGCCCACTTGAACACGCACACATGCACTCTTGTTTGTTCCTATGTTTACTTCGATTTGTAGTAGCACTTTCATTTCAAAATGCATCTGCCACTGCCAGTATAGAAGTAGAATAGTGTTTTGCTGATTTATTTTTCATTTCTACTCATATTGTGTTCTCTGTTGAAATAAATTAGTATGAAATCTACGTTGACTTCGATCATAGGAATACAGAGCATGGATTCTGCGAGACTGAACGTTTTGAATTATTTGTTAACAAGCGTGAAGTATGTCATACCAGCTAAGGATTTCTATTTAGTTCTTTATTATTGTTATTTTTTTAAAATAGTGATTTTCTAAGGATTATGTATATATATACTTATATTTATATTTTTTCCTTGCATGCCATCTATGTTCTGTACGTAGGTTTGCAATGCATACACGGAGTTGAATGATCCTGTGGTACAACGCCAATGGTTTGCTGACCAACTCAAGGTATTATGATCATTAGGAATTGAATCATTGTGGCATGTAAAGTCATGTTGTGTGGGGTGCCTTGACTGAAGATTTTTGTATGATTAAATTTCAGGACCGACAATCAGGTGATGATGAAGCAATGGCTTTGGATGAAACATTTTGCACAGCTCTCGAGTATGGTTTTCCCCCAACTGGTGGTTGGGGACTGGGTATTGACCGACTAACAATGATGATGACAGATTCGCAGAACATCAAGGTTTGTGTTTTACGTTTGTGTGGTTTGTGTGAAATGTTCATGTGTTATCAGTTTGTGGTTTTGGATTTCCTTGCTGGTGATTTTTCATTTGTTTAATTTATTGGTAGTGTTGGTTTGGTGGGGTTGGGGTTGGTTGTGTTTGGCTGGACGTGGGAAGTTTCACATTCTACAATAGAAAGTTTTTTCGACTGAGCTTTTTTACTCAAGTGTCAATTGTTTTGTTTTTTGGTTTGGGGACAGGAAGTTCTACTCTTTCCGGCCATGAAACCTCAGGATGAACCTTTTGCTAAAGAACACATCCAAACAGCTTCTGGCTTGGGTCCAGTATAGGTTTTCAATCTGCCAATATGCATGCAAATCTGCCTATAGAAGGTTTACTTCTGTTTTGGTTATGCATTTAAATCTGCCAAGAAACATGCTGTTGGGTTGGATTATTTAGTACGATATGTTTTATTACTGCTAACGGTTTTCTATACATGCTGAAATATTGATTTCCTTGCAGTTTTCTAGATTAGTGGGATGGAGCAAACCAACGTCTTATTTCAGCAAGATTCATAGGTACTATGATTCTGCTTTTATGTTGTGATGGAAGTTCAAGATCTTGTAATGATTTTTTGCCAAAATAGTCGTTTGAATCCCTAAATTTCTTTTGCATGGTGTCTGTGTCCTATTGATTTTGTTGGAGAAGCTGAGTCCTATTGATTTTGTATTCTACAATTCTAACATTTTGTGCGTAATGCAGCTTGTCCCTGGTGGTTCTCCTGATCCAAAATGTGTGGTGGTATGTAAGATTGCTTTTGTTAGCGCCGTCAGATTGGCAGATCTAAAGAAGAATGCTGATGGACAAGAAAGTCTGGTGTTTGCTACTTTAGCTGGTGACCTGGTAGTCCGAGGACTAATATTACTATCAGTTGTTATGACATTTTTTAATTTTTTTTTGTTGGTTCTTATATTTGAAATAGAGAGTTTATTTGCATTGATGACTTATTCTTAACTCAGTAACTCTCCAATGACCATATGAAGATTTCTAGGGTGCGAGAAATATGAAATATTTTTGTGTAACATACACCGTTTGATTTATGTGAATGTTTTGTTTTTGCACAATGATGGTGGACTATCATTTTATAAGATTTTACTATATGAATGGGGGTTATTATTTTATATTAGTACTATTTTAGTTTTATTATAGGTATTTTTAAAAAAAATTAGCACAATTTTTTTTTTAAAGAAAGGGCTATCACGGCGTTTTTAAAAACGTCGCTAAATAGTTGGGAAAAAGAGTCAACAGATCGAATATCCTCCTCAGGACCTTCTTACTTGGTTGATTGGCAATAGGCAGAATGAACAACATTGGGATCATCTGGACCGTACTATTCACCAGAGGGAACATCAAGTGCTGGACAGGCACGTCTCTTCGCCATTCTCCCCGGAGATCGAGACCATGAGACCTCCAAAGAAATTCACCCCACTAAAGTTCACTTCTTACGATGGGAAGTCGGACCCGCTGACACATATTAGCCACTATAGACAGATGATGTCCCTATGGAACCGAGTGAGGCACTGATGTGTAAAGTCTTCCCATCCAACTTGGGAGAAACCGGACTTCGATAGTTTGATCGTCTCCCCGCTGGATCGATCCATGGCTGGAAGCAGCTCTCCGAAGAGTTCCTAGCCAGGTTTGTCTCCAACACCAAGATCCCGAAGGAGCCGGATACACTGTTCGGCCTCCGAAAAGAGCAGGAGGAAACGCTGCGCAATTATGCTAGGAGGTACTGGGAAGAATATAATGACCTGGAGGAAAATGTGTGCAGCGAGCAGATGGTCGTTATGTCCTTCAAACATGGTCTGCGCCCGAAAAGTAAGCTGAGACAATCACTTACCAAGCGCCCGCCCACAGCTTTAAAAGACTTGCGCGCCAGGATTGAGCAGTATGCTCGTCTCGAAGACGATCAAATCCCCATCGAGGTAGCGTCAGCAGAACAAACAACTCGGCATAAGAAGAGAACAGATCGAGGAGAACACCGAGGGATTTGCAGTAAATGAGGTGGATAAGTCCAAATCCCATGAAGCCGTTGACTGTATTCAAAGAGCCAATCTATCGAATTCTAGAAAAGATCAAGAGAGAGCAGTTATTTGTTTGGCCGCCGAAAATGTTAGGAGATCCAGTTCGGCGCAATCAGAAGCTCAAATGCACTTACCACCAAGACAGGGGGCACATGACTCAAAACTGCAGGGCACTGAAGCAACACTTGGAAGACCTAGTGGCAGCTAGACACCTAAGGGATTACATTGATCAGGATAAGGAAATGACCGAACTAGGGAACCCACCAGCAGAAGCAAACATTGAGCATCCACCTCGGCTGATAATAAATGTGATCCACAGGACAGCGATTCAGGAATCTGAGGAGGCACTGAAGGAAGAGATTGTTAAGGCTGCGCAAATTCAATGGGTCATGTCAGTGGAGCCTGCATCAAAAAAGGTACGTACAGTACCTAAATCCCCCTTGTGCACAGTTTCATTTACTAGCAAAGATTTAGAAGGCATACAGCACCCACATACTGATGCATTAATTATAACTGTGGGAATTGGGAAACGATTTGACGTAAAACGAGTCCTAGTAGATCAAGGTAGTGCAGCAGACATACTGTATTACGATTTATTCAGAAAGCTTGGTCTCTCCGAGCAGCACCTCTCCCTAGCGGCAGCCCCGTTGGTCGGTTTCAATTCACAGCCAGAATGGCCGCTTGGCAAAATAGTTTTGCCAGTCGTGGCGGGGACAAAAACCCTCCAGATAGAGTTCTTGGTTATTAATACACCATCCCCTTACAACGCCATACTTGGCCGTCCGTGGATTCATCGAATGGAAGAAGTCCTTTCAACCTATCACCAGCTCATCCGTTTCCCAACGGAACATGGAGTAGAGCAGATTTCAGGGGATCAAGTTGCGTCCAAACATCTGATAAAAAAAAAAAAAAAGATGCGTCCAAACATTGCTTCATGGCAGCATTAAAGGCAAAACAGTTCTGCAATCGGGTACAGACAGTAGAAGTGGCCGAACAGCCAGTCTTGGAAGATGTAGGGGGAACCCCAGAGAAAAAGATGGTAGAGGATTTGGAGAAAGTCCTGGTAAAAGAAGACGACCTAGAAAAGTACTTCCTTATCGGTACCTCGCTAGACGCTGATGAGAAACTTCAGCTGCTGGAACTGCTGAGGGAAAATATGGAGGTATTCGCATGGTCAGCATATGATACTCCATGGTTGGACCCAAAATTTGCTTGCCACAAGCTCAACATCAACCCTTCAGCTCGGCCCATTGTGCAAAAAAGTCGGAGATCGTCAGTCGAGCACACCGAAGCAGTAATTGCCGAAGTCGAAAAACTCCTGGCTTTAGGAGCAATCAGGGAAGTTTAGTACCCGCAATGGCTGTCCAACACGGTTGTAGTCAAGAAAAAGAATGGAAAATAGAGAGTTTGTGTTAACTTCACTTGCTTGAACAAAGCCTGCCCTAAAGATAGCTTTCTACTGCCTCGCATTGATCAACTAGTGGACTCAACAACAGAGCATGAGCGCATGAGCTTTCTGGACACTTATAGCGGTTATCATCAGATACCACTGTTCGATCCAGCACCAAGAAAAGACAATGTTTATCACTCCAATGGGAACTTACTGCTACAAAGTAATGTCATTCGGCCTCAAGAACGCCGGGGCAACCTACCAGCGAATGATTACACGGATGTTCAAGGACCAACTGGGAAAAACCATGGAAGCATATATAGACGATATGGTAGTAAAAAGCAAGTTCACTACAGACCATCTTGCAGATTTGAGAGAAGTTTTTGGCATCCTGAAAAACCACCAGCTTCGCCTTAATGCCTCGAAATGCGCCTTCGGGGTAGGAACATGGAAGTTCTTGGGATACATGGTCACTCACAGAGGAATTGAAGCGAATCTGGATCAGATCAGAGTGATACAGGATCTTGAAATACCAACAAAGGCTAAGGAACTGCAGAAACCAGCCGGAATGGCGGTCGCACTGAATCGGTTTATTTGCAAATCCTCAGATCGGATAAAGCCCTTCTTTCAGCTTTTGAGGAAAAATGCGGCATTTGAATGGAGTAGCGAATGTACCGAAGCACTGCAGAGTCTCAAAAGATACCTCAGCACACCTCCTCTACTGTCCACTCCAGAGCCGGGATAAGAGCTGTACCTTTATCTAGTAGTCTCAGATCATGCCGTGAGCGTAGTGTTAATTCGAGAAGTTGACAAGGAACAGAGGCCTATCTATTTTGTCAGCAAGACTTTACTAGATGCCGAGACACGGTATCTACTGTTGGAAAAGTTAGCATACGCGCTGCTTATCGCCTCAAGAAAGCTGCAACATTACTTCCAGGGGCATACCATTAATGTCCTCACTGAATTTCCCCTCAGATATGTATTCAGCCGAGCTAATTTCTCTAGCAAAACAGCAAAGTGGGCGGTAGAACTTGGTGAGTTTGACATTCGGTATCACCCCAGGACAGCGATCAAGGCCTAGGTCTTAACGGATTTTGTCGCAGAATTTGCTCTAACCCAGAGTACCGAACCGAGGGATCCAAGTTCGGCACAGGTGCCATGCACCACCGAATAAGGAAAGCCCTGCGCTTCGGAAGCCTGGAAACTCTTTATTGGAAACATTTGGCAGCTCTATGTTGATGGATCGTCCAACAACCGAGGCTCGGGGGCAGGAGTAGTACTTATTTCACCAGAAGGGTTTATCTGGGAACAGGCTCTCAAATTCGGTTGGAAGGCTTCAAACAACGAGGCCGAGTACGAAGCGTTATTGGCTGGCTTACGTAGCGTCGAACACTTCAATGCAGAACAGCTTCTTGTTTTCAGCGATTCACAACTAGTGGTCAACCAGTTTTCTGGGGTCTATGAAACACGAGATGAAAGAATGGCTATGTACGCAGGAAAGGCCAAGGACCTGCTCAGAAAATTTCAATCCATACGAGTAGAACGAATCAGTCGAGACAAAAACGGCCACGTCGATGCTCTGGCATGCCTCGGCTCATCAGTGGATACAAAGGATGCCAGAAGAGTTTGGGGTAAGTTTGTGCCAGAACCAAGTATTGCATGTCCAGTCCTCTGCAACAACTTAGAGTCGAGCTGGATGGATCCAATATTTGCTTTTCTGAAATCTGGTACACTCCCCGAAAACAAAAGGGAAGCCAACAAGGTCAAACACAAGTCAGTTCGGTTCTGGATCTCACCATCTGGAAAGCTTTACAGATGCTCCTATCTTGGCCCTTACCTCCTATGTGTACATCCAAATCTCGTCGAGAATGTTCTCTACGAAATTCACGATGGGATTTGTGGATGCCACGTTGGCGGA